AGAGATATACACTTGAAAATTATAAAATACAATAATTTTTAATTAACGTAACTTTCAAATAAAACACTTAAAAGCATTGGGAGCAGCTGGTAACAAGATTGAAATATAATTCGGAGTGCAAAGGGTTAATGCTCCACGCTTGGGGGGACCCGACTGAAATACTACGAAACTGAACTCTGACGCCATTTTTCTCCAGTTCCAACCGGTAGCTATCGAATATAGTTTCTCCGTGGATCGTATAGTTGCAAAAACTAGCGTGCACAAAGCCTGAGTAGAAATCGACCGACTCTGTTTAGTCATCGAGGGACCGAGGAGAGTTGTTGCAAATATTCGTGCATACATTATGGTCGATACACGGGGTTGCGGTATCAGTCGGTCGTTATCGCGATCCCGACTCAAAGAACCCTTCGTAGTTACCGGAGGGGGCCCCTATTTGACATCACCTGAGCCGTAATTCCTGGGTGAAGGTTTGCCCAGGCTCGGTGGTGTCTGGCAGCTGGACACACGTGCAGATGCAGTAACGAGGTACGCGTAATACGCGTACCTCGCGATATCAGCTCCCTTTGCCCGCTGAACGGGGGAGGGCTGCGCAAGAAACAGCCTGACTCGGCATTGTCAACGGATAATTGAGAGGAATTTCCAGGAGTCGTAACGCGTACGGCTGACGGACTCGTAAACCAGCGCGGAAAATCGCGCGATGCACGCGCGACCACCGTGGACAGTTTCAGGGAAGAATTATGGCGTCGAGGGCCAGGGCTGCTGAGAAACGACTTTGTTTGCTCGGTCTCCGGGCCCTTGCAGTTAATGGTTTTCGACCCGGTCGTCGTGTTAAATGGGCTGCTCCGTGCTCTCGCTTCTAGGAAATTTGCATTTGATACGGAGGAAAAGAAGTTCCTTTGTCGAAATCGTTTGTACCAAGTCTTGAAAAATGGAATTTAGATTCGCTTATTATTTGCGAATAATAGCGCCGAGTGCTGTGGATAATGGCTATGGAGAACGGAAGAATTCCAGAAGCCAATATGGATATTGGGAATAGTGGTTTACAGAGAATTCTGGTAATGGAATTGAAAATAACATTCAAAGGTATCTTTCCCAGAGGCGAGGCTTTTTGGCGAACGTTCAAGGGAACTGTCACTCTCGGATAAAAGAAGGATTATTGATGACGCGTCTTTGAGAATGTTCAATATTGTTCGCGTTGCATTTCGTAGCTTCGTGGTATCAAACGTCTACTTTTTGAATATATTTTAGTACCCTTTCCTCGCTCTATTATCTATCGCGTGCACATACCCGACACGGTATGCAAAGTAGTTTAGACGTTGACTGGTTATCCTGCAAGACGAAGCTTAATTTTATTCATTGGTTCGTTCCATCCAAAAACATAGAGACGATAAAATCGACGTAGGTACACGCGATTACAAATTGTGCATATTTCGCTCTTACCGATCGATCACTCAGAACCGAGGAAAAGACCGCTGCACCACACCGTCTCTTCGCGTTAACCGTCGATTACTCTGTTCGTCGAGGCGACCATTTAGCGGCCATTTTGGTACCGCTTAAGTGCACTCTGAAGAAGTTCGCTCGGTAAACCGATCGGTAAACAAGTGCAAGTTTGGCCCGACGTCGCCTCTCGTAAATATGGAAATAAAGCGTAAAAGCAGCGTGGATGAATAAACACGACAGCGGTCGAGGGTCGAGTCGTTTTTCTCGGGCGTCGCGACGCCTCGGAGGACCGTCGTGCGAAACACTCGGTCGCTGGACGGCGCGCGAATCGATCGAGGAGCGGAAGGGAAACATCAAACGGAACGGGAGGGGGGGGTGAGTCACTCCGTGACTCATGCATAATTTATTTCGACTTAATTAGCGAACAGACGTGCCGGGGTGGCGTGCAGAAAAAGCAGCGGTTTCCATAAACACAGTGCAGCTGTGTTATGCAAATTCGTACTCTGAAATTGTAAATGAAACCGTTACCCTTTCCCCCCGCCGCGGTCGTGGTACCAGCGAGTCGATCCTCGACTCTCGAAATCGCGGGCGCGTTAATCTCGAATATGAATCGACCGCAAATAAAGTGTACAAGCGTTCGCGCGTGTCGCCCCGTGCATTCGATACGGTTCGTTTGAATTTACATCGGCGATATTAAGTCGTATTTTCCGTCATACGTTGTCCCGCGGGGGCCAAACCGTGTTTGGATTACGGTTCGCGAATTTCCACGATCGAACAATGCAGTTTGGAACATCGAAAACTGTACCGTCGAAGATTCTTTGAGGTTTTTTTTTTATTGGTTTAGAAGGCTGGTCGATGCACGTGTTATTTATGTTGAGGAATTAATTTTTAGCAGCTAGACTCGAGTTGAATACACTCTGCCACGCCAGGATTGTCTATGGGTGGATGGACACTGAGCGTGTTAAATTACTGAGCGGCACGATCATCTGCCTAAATTTCTCAGGGGTATTCCCTGTGCTAACAAGACTCCTCCAAGTGCCTATAGAATCGAGTATAGCGTCGTTATCAATAGAATCTGCAACTTCGTAAACAACCCTCCTTTCGACCAGACGCTTTTCCGAGCAATAGTTCCAGAGAACTAACAGACTCGGATTTTTATGAGACTTTGAAGATTTACGACGGTGCTTCCCTTAACGATAGAGTTCACGGAGGTGAAACTACCCTCCGAATTTTTCGTTTTATATATCGAGAACGGAAGAGTAGCTTGCGCAGGTAAACGCGTTTTGATGAAAAGAGGAATCCCGTCTGGAGATGCATTTTTAAGAATTTATTTCTGAAAAACGGAGAGTTCTCTGGCGCTCTTTTAAAAGGAAAAATAACCAAAAGACTCCGGGGGGGCTTCCCTCTAGTAAAAAGTCAGAATTCCCCAGGTCGGCTAATCCCGCCATGTCGTCGTTACTCTGTTCCCTTAAAAGCCAGCGTTCTAAGTCCGGTCTTTAGCTAGGCCAACGACCCGCGTGGCACCGAGTAAAATCAGAAAATCTTTCGAGAGAAAAATTTACAAGTTCTGTGTCTCAAGTTTAGCCATTTAAATCTGAAAACCTGCCAAAAGAGTCTCAGAGAATCGAGAATTCACCTCTCGTGGATGCGTCGGGGGACTCCGGTACGTTCGTTGGATCGTTCCCGGTGTCAGAATTCTGGCGAAAGCAGTTAGCGTCTTCGAGGAAGCTATAAAACGTCGAAGTTTGTGCCGTGGAGATCCTCGTAGGCGCGGAGAAACCAGGGTCCTCGATCGCGAAAGCTACGGAAGTTTCGCCGGATATTCAATACGCTCGGTTTGCCGCGACGAAAGCGCGCGATCACGATCGATCGTTGCGGTTCATCTTACGTTTCATCACGGCGATCCTCGAACGAGCTCGAAGCTGGCTGAAACACCGCTCGCTTTCGAACGACAGAAATAAATAAATAAATCGGACGGGAACTTTGAAAATCTTGCTGCCGCGAGCGTAACCAATTCCGAACGATGGAAATACTTGCGAAAGTATAGGAATCGATATCGTGTACGTTATATAGCGTAATTAAAAGTTTCTCAAAGAATCAGAGCGAACTGATACTTCTATAGAATGTTTGCAGAAGCTTACAAGTTGGACAAAACGTTGCATTGTGGTCGCTTCCCCGAATACCTGTTCGAGATCGACACGAACGACGAATCGGGATTAAAAATCTCATCGAGGAGGATCTGGAGGATCTTCTATGCGAGCCACGTATAGAAAGAACGTAGTGTTCTTGGAAGAAATTTTTACGTGGACGGAATTTCACACTTTCGCACCAACGTGGACGAGCTCCGAAAAAGTCTCTTTTCCAATCTGGAATCGTAACGAAGCGTCGTAAAACCTATGCCAATCCGCGCCAGCAACAGTACCGGGTACCATTCCGTGAGAAATTCTGAATGCTGAAACGACCGAATCGTTTCCCCAGTGGGAATCCTCTTAGAATTCTTTCGAGTATAATGTCGCGTCGAATTTACAAGCATGGAGATTGCATCTCTCGCGATCTCGGAACGGTCATTGCCAATATTTATGAAGACGTAAACTATAATATAATCCGAGATCTCGTTGGAAGCGCGCCAAACAGAATTTCTCAGCCAATTGATCGCTTGGAATTCCTTTTCGAGTCGACTTTATTGCGTTCAAGAATGCATTTATAATGTTTGTTCGCTAAATAGAAAATCCATTTAATTTCAGGGAAAGTAGACCTGTATTTTTCTGAGATTTAAGATTCGATTGATCGATTATAATTCTCAGCGGGGGTCGAACATGTTCCGATATTCTAACCCCAAAGGTGATGGGGTCAATCTCGACGTTCCCCTGGTGCAATAAATTTATGACATTGCAGCGAATTTCGTTGCATTCCGTTGGACAAGTAAGAGGTAACCCAGTGAGATTGCAAGTGGAAAGTCCCGAGACGCGGGACAAATTGCTAACAAAAGACCAACAATTACACAAGGGATAAAACATGGGCGATCGGTAGTTAGGGTACACCGTGCAAGCGTAGTACCTTCTTATCGAATCGGCCATCTCGATAATTGCAGGAATCGTGAGCTCGATTTTCTTCCAACCCCGGTTGGAGGTTCCGCTGTATTGTTTACAGAGATTCTGTACATAGCTGTAATTTAATAACGTCCCCGGGAACTCGCAGAGAAGTCCGGACGATCCCCATCAACCGCGGAGGGTTTTCCTTCGCAAACATTCCCCATACGCGGAGCAGGCTGAGCTAACAGAATATACCTAGGGAGAAACAGAAATAAAAATTGCACATTACGCTGGCAAAGTTGAGTAACAAAGTCGAGGCCATAGAAACGAGAAATGGAACTTTAATAATTAGTGAAGAATTTGGGGCTAATATGCAATTCTGGTATGTTGGGCTAACTACCCTCGCGTCTCGAACGAAATGCCTAAGCTCTTTTTGCCGAGTAGATCGCGCGACATCTGTCCAATATCGTTTGTAAAAATCGTAATCTCTTCGAAGGGAAGACTGACGGTTCGAAATTCTGATTGCAGCTTCGACGAGACGTCGATGGACAGCTGTCCATTGTCGGCGATCACCGAGGGAAGAACGAGCGATCCGTCGAAGGACTGCATCGAGACGGAAGTGACGTCGCTGGAGGAGGCGAAGTCGGTGATAGCGGCTCTGCGAGCGAGGCAAAGGGCACAGGCGCATCAGATGCTCGCTTGGCGGAGGACCCTGAAATTGCAGGTAAGCTACGCCGTTGTTAACGAACGCTGGGTAAATGCAGGCGTATCTATAATTATCGAGGGTGGCTCGGCAGCCGATTAAAACCATTATCTGGTAAAACTTTGAAGAGGAGTCCGCGTGCTTCCGGGACAGGCCAGACGGTATTCGTGACCCCCGTCGATTTCGTTTCTGGCTTCGCGTGACTGCGAACGATCTACGATTCAACGTGGCGGATACGGTAGCGAAAAATAACCTGCCTCGAAATTCAGCGAGGGTCCGCAACGCGTCGATGGGTCGGTGGCCCTAAAAATACGCGAAGGGTTCCGACACGACGAGGACTCGAGCTGATAAAAAACCAGAGGTCGATTGAACTAATGGAATCGGTAAAGTTAGCAAACGTAGAGATGTCTTTCTTCCCTTGCATGATGTATAAGATTGCTGTCATTAGCTCGGTGTCACCCACGAAGAATAACTTTTCTTTGAAGGGAGATAGATGGAATCAATGTTCCTTCGATCTTCTATAATAGTTCAGTCATGTGAAGCAATTATTTCGTTTAAAAGATTTTTGGTTTTCAATCATTTGGTGACCGCGAAGTAAATTATTTGGCATGCAATAACGCGTGTGGTTTTATTTTCAGGTCGATGGAGATATTTTCTATCGATTGAAATTTATAACTTACCAGTGCGTCAAATTCTCGAGCTTTTACGTTTCGTACTCGATTCCCCGTTCCACGGTTACGACCGATCGATGTTTCGGCGCCAGATACATCCTGAAACGCTCTCTGTCCCGTGATTAAATGCGCCGCGACATTAATAAATGCTCACGAACGCGTTTGCTAACACGAATTTCGGGGGGAAGACAATGCACCGAATTACATAGCCCCCGTTCGAGTGCATTCGAACGATGCACTCTGCTCTAACTAAAAACGAGAACAAAAGATACACACGTACGAGTGGTCCTACGATCGAATTTCCACGTTAAAAATATTAATTGCGTCCCTCGAATCGTATTACTAATTTGATCGTGTATAAAACCAGGGAGCTTGACCAGATTGAATAGGACGGACCCTCGAATAACGAATCGCGCAGATAGGCAACAGTGTTTCTGTATTCACCGAATAAAATATAATTTCCCCGCTCCTCTATCGAACATGAAAAGCCATACATTTGGCATTCGCTAATGAAGCAATTACGAAATGCTTATATATTGTATATCCTCGAGGAAATCCGAATAATCGGATCCTGCAGAGCCTGAAACAACGCACGAACGCTGAAAGCATCGGATTACAAACGGGCCACAAATCAGCAAGGTACTCGATGCTGGAATACTTTTTCAAATACACTCGAGGACGTCCATTAATAACCACCGACGAGATGCGTTTGCGGTTTCCGTTAATTAATTTATCGATTCGGTAAACGGTGTGTGTGCGGTGGAGCAATGAAAACAGCAACTCTGGGAGAACAAAACGCGGGGAAACGGTTAAACGGAGAAAAAGACTCGGTGCAAAGGTGTCTGGAGCGGTCGAGGTGACAAACACGGCGCCATAAATTAAAGGATTTCATGTCCGAGGACACGATTTAGGGACCGACTGGTCCGTAAAATCGAGAAATGTCTGGAATAGCGGCGTTTATCGTCGACTCGTCTCGACCATTTTTCATTTTTCGCCTTCGATGCGAATTTCTTAAGCATTTTTATACTTGGCGAGCTTTCCACTTGATCGAGTTTCTTTATTAATTTAGTCGTTAAACTTGATCTCGCTTGTTTATCCAGCGGACTGCATTCCCCGGGTTAATTCGTGCGCGGCGGTTAAGTGGTTTGCGTAATCTGTGGGAACTAATTATGTGCTGATAAACTATCGAGCAACGAGGGGCTGTTTAATCGATTAAAAGCGTCGCGTCGAAGGCGGGAAAATTTGATCAAAAGTTGTAAAAATGATTCGTCGTCGAAACCTGGACGACATTGTATCGACATTCTTGTATTGCGCCAAGCACACCCACGTTCAAACTTTGATAATCCTTGCGATGAACTTCATATTCAACGATGTTCCGTGATACGCTTATTGAATACGGAATTGTCTCCCTTAACTGAATCCCTCGGGCTGGCACTTTGAAGAGTTTAATATTGAGGACGTTAAAGGGACTTGGCTGGTATAGATAAGTTGAACTCCGGTCCCGGGCGCTGCAGCCACCAACCACCAGATGCCCTAAAGCCTGTTTAATATTAATGCGACGCGATAGCTCTGGAAACGAGATGTCCATCGCGGATGGCGGAAAAAAAGAGAAAAGGCGAAATGCCTGGCTCGTGTTCGTTGTCACGTTTCATTCAAATCGTCGGAGCCGTGGTACCCGGTGCTCGTTTCTCGATCAACCAGTTTGTTTCTTGTCTGATCGCCCTCTCGCGCGATGGAATAAATTCACGATCTCGTATTCGAGCTGCACGCGGCGTTCGAGCATTTAAGTTTGACCATAATTTTCTACATTTTGCTTTCCTCGTTGGATAGAAAATAATTACAGCTCGATGAAGCAATCCACGTAGCTGGAATCTCGTGGTTTTCGAGAACCGCGCGGAAGTTACACGCTCTGTTCAAACACGAAGCTCGTTACCGACGCGAGCTGTCGATGATTTGTATCGTTACAGGCAGTCAGCACGCGACAGTCACGTGCTCGAGATCCTCGAGAGGCCGACGTCCCAATAAACAGCGCGAGAAGCGTTTAATTACGGCATAATGGCCCGTTATTAGATGCAACGACCCGCTCGCGTGAGGGACGTGCGAACGAGGCCTGACGGAAGTTGTTCGCGACTGGAAATGGTTGTGTTGTCTGCTTCACGCTTTCTCGCGACGAGCAATCGAAAGCTCCTCACCCAGTGGCTTACATCGAAACAGACGATTTGGCTTCGTTCTTGGACCGAACACTTTTACTTTCCACACGTTAGAGAAATTGCAAAACTGGTGATTTTTGCAATATTTATGGATTACGTAAGAAAGAGAGACGCCTGGAGGAAATAAGGAAGCAGGATTTGCGAACGTCAAGCTGTGTACGTAATTGTCGTAAAATTTATGCCGCGAGCGGAGCGATAGAAGGGTAAGATGGCGGAAGCTCTCGGTGGGATTGGACTGCAGAGCTGCACGACGACCGACATATTCGCAGAACGCGACGCGTATCCGGTCTGCTTTGCATGAACTACGATCTTCCTTCCTTCCCATCCGCCGAAGAAGGACTCCATTATTCTTGGCATTGTCTCGCGTAAATGGCAGCCCCGTGAAATGGCCACGCGACGGCCACTCTGCATTCTTCCACGGCGCGAGCGCACGGTCGCGTTTCTTATGCACGGCTCGTAGAAAAAGGTACACGGAACGGTCCTTTCAGCCTCGATCGGGCAACATATTCCACCGAGACGGAGTTTCTCGTCCCCCCTCGCCCCCGTCACGCGCATAATAATCGGCTGGAATTTATAAACGACAATGAAATGCTTTTCGCGACGTCTAGTACCCCCTATGGCCAAGCACAGCTGGAAAAGCAACGTCAGAGACACGCAGCGAGTAATTCCGCTCTTCTGTATCCTCTCTTCCCGGCTTCCAACAATTCCCTCAAACGAGATACCTCGCAACAGATTGGTTACTTGACACACATCGCGGCTTATGCGGGTTTTCAGGCTGGTTGGCCCCCGCGTTGCCTCCAGGAAGCTACAACGCCGGCCATTTGCTTTATTGCGCGTTGATAAATAACGCTGATTCTTTAGAAACACCGAAGTCTCCTTTATCCACGTCTTTATTCCACTTATTACTATCTGCAGGCTTTGCACTCACGACAAGACAAGATTTTGTATCAAATTCTGGTTAGCTTACGATGTAAATGGAAAATAAATATGTAACAAAAGTGAAACGACAGAATCTTCAGCTTCCACTATCTTAGAAAAGTCTAAGAACGCGTACTAAAAATTGTTAAACTTCAGACACGCGCAGTTCCGAAACTACCAGTGCTTTATCCATTTTTTAGCCACCGTTAGCAGCGGTGAACCTTCCCCTTTAAAATGGTTTTTGGTTTTTATCGATCCGACTTTCCGTTTCGGAGGTATCGTAATTTATGTGAAAGGTAATTTTTTACATTCCACTGTCCACGCGCTCTCCGCTTGGAAAGGCCTATTTAACGCGTATTAAAAATACTAAAACTTTAGACGCGCGCAGTTCCGAAACTACCAGTGCTTTATCCATTTTTGAGCCACCGTTAGCGGCGGTGAACCTTCCCCTTTGAAGTGGTTTTTGGTTTTTGACTATCGGACTTTCCGTTTCCGAGATATCGCAATTTATGTAAAAGGTAATTTTTTTTAATTCGACTCTCTCTGTCTTCGTCTAGCGCGCCGGACCTCTCGCTCGCACGTGCATCGCGCTGACCTACCCCACGTACGTGACTGTCGTGACCTAGTTTCGCGTAGTGTTTCCAAGAATTTACTACGCGCTACTACTTACGCGCGCGAGTTCATTCACCTCGCGTCAATGAACGTAAACAAACGCTTCGGACCCTCTTATCTCCGAAACTAGCCACCGCATCGACTTGAAATTAAAATCGCGATATCTCTGGAACTAATTACGCTATCGACTCGTACAAACGCTCATTTTAAAGGGCATTTCATCCTCTATCCTATGACCATACTCACTTGTATAATTTATGCTGTCTTCTATGTTTATTTTCACATTTACTTTTACGCTACATACCCAAAGATGTTTTAGCAATTCCTATGGATTATAAATTGTTCATTTCATTGAAAATGAATTGAAATTTGTATACAGGGTGTTTGTATAATTACTGGTGGGTAAGACAATTGTTTCTGTATTCTCAAATTGAAAATTAAGCCGTGACGACTGATGTGGGATAAAAGTGGACTATAAATTGTTTATTTGATTGAAAATTAATTTAAATTTGTGTACAGGATAGTCTGTAAATTTTCTGTACGAGGTTAAAGTAACAAGTATACACATTTAGAGTAAATCTACGAGTTTAGGCCCACTATATATGTATTAATGTCCATTGTGGGCGCTTGACTTTCGAGTTATGGATATCGCCGAACGTTTCTCGAACTCGCCCTCGTCGTGGCCGGATCGAAACATTTATCTAGCGTGCGACGAAGTTGCCAACTTGAACGATTATCCTAGTCCTCGGTGACGGTTCTGCTGTTGACGACGAGCGTTCTGGGCGTCGCGTCGCGGCGATATCACACCCACCATCCAGACGTTAGAGAGTTATTGGGAAAGTTAAGGGTTCTAAATTCTGGAGCATCCTTGCACCTTGGTCGTACCACGCCATAACTGGAAACCATAAAAAGGGAATGATCACGGTTTATTGATCCGTGGTGGGAATTGTTCGTACTATTTTCGTAGAAATATTTATTTAGCGTTGACAGAGAAAACAAAGACCTTACAACGAAATATTGTTCCAAACGTTAAAATAATCGAACTTGGGACTGTTGTATTTTGTTGATAGCGTTGTTTTTGAGCGCTGCTCGAAATGTTGCGTTCGTATCGAGCACGAAATTGCGACGGCCGTTCGCCGTCAATTTAGCCCGTAGATTATTTACGTCGTTCGATTGCTTTTGGTTCGTTTAATTGCGTTCGAAACACACTCGGTCTAATTGAAACGGAAGAGCAACATACGCGATAAAGCGGTTTGCCAGTACAGTCCGTACCAATAATACGGCGGCGCGCAAACCCACCGAGTCTCCTAATTAATTCCAAATTACGGTGAGGATGCATTACAGTTAGGTCGTGGGGTGCAGCGGCGTACGTATTGCTTCCCGCCTATCGACGCGATCTTTCGGCTAATTACCCGCGCGTATCTCGCGTAGCCGCAAATTTATGCGACCGTAACGCGGTAGCTCGTGACTATTCACGAAATATTCCTTCGCGAGCCTTTTCATCCGCGAGATAAAAAAGCTTCCACGAAAATTTCTGTACCCCGTTGGCTATTGATAACGAGACACCGTGATTAATCGTCGCCGGGGTAGTTGAACGCCACGGGGTGAGTAATGTTTAGCCTTTGAAAACAACGCGTTCTTTAATAGCTGAACAGAGACCAGTTTTATCGTCTTGAAACTGTGCAAAAGATTTGTCTTTCGAGTCTGGGTGGTTGAGATATTCTACCAGTGTAATTACCAGGATAAAGTATTTTTATTTATTGGTTTTTAATGAACGTTTGGCGGGACTTGGTGTCTCCGTGGCTGTACGCGTTAGCGAATTGAGAAGTTCCCGGTGTTGTAAGTTTGTTTATAGAATAATGGGATCGTTTCAGGAGGACTTGGTGGCCCGACTGACGAGGGAGAAGGCCGAGCAGCTACGTACGTTATCCTCGCAGCTGCTGTTGTTCGAGTCGAGGCTCTGCCGGAAACAGAAGGAGATCGAGGCCAGCCTCGCGCAACGAGAGTCCATTATTCTCAGGCAACAGAGGGTGATTCGGCAATTGCAGAGCAGATTGGCGGAAAGAAACACCGGCACAAGGGACTCGCCACCTTGCGACGCCCTCGATAGATTGGACAGCCTGGGGGACAGCGACAGCGCCGTCGTCCTCGAGGAAACAGCCGACGACCTAGCTCCGCCAAGGTATTCGAACTCTTCTTCCTATTTCCTTCGTTCGACTCCAATTCTAACGAAAAATATTTCTTAAAAGTTTGGTAAACAGATACCAGAGACTTCTTATCTCTAAAATACATAACACTTATCGTTTATTTATTAGTTTTTAATTACTATAGAACTCGCTCTCCCTCGCTCAGGCTACTCGCAAATCACTGTTCAGGTTGTTAAATATTTAAGAACTTCTGAATCCCCGAGTACAAAGAAGACTCCATTATCGTTAATATTTCATCGAGACGAATTCAGACCACTTTGGCTTACCGGGCGTATAACAAAAGTCCGACGTTCAGCACGGTTTTAAAAGCCTTCCAGGCCAAGAACGAATCTATAGGGTGTTTCGTAGACACTGGAATATCTCTGTTGCCCTTTGACGATAAGAAAAGTTCGTAATGGAGGCTCGTTAATTCTGAAAGGAGGAGTATAATTACCTATGACTCCCAACTTTCTCGAGCGACTTGTGTGCAATCGAACAACGTGGAACAAGAATGGGATCGTTTTAATCAATTTTGGCGTAACATTGACGACGATGATGCTTGCTTCGAAATCTAGGACGTAGGAGGCGTACGGGGGAGGCTTTCGAAAATTATGGCGTTCATACTAAGCTCCGGGCTTTCAACTCTATCCCGGGCGTAATGGAAGTAGAGGTTTGTATCGGATTTGAGCCGAAACACCGAGTGATCCAAATTTACTTCGCGTAGGTCCTATAGATAATGAAGTCTCCTTTGCCGCGTTACCTTTGTAGAGATGTTTATGCAACGGATTATTCTCTACAATGCACCGAAAGATACTGGGAACTATAAACTCGGGATGATCTTGCAACAATCCCTGTATTCCTCTTAAACGACGAACTTTCTGCCGTAGTCGGGCTAGCTTCGCTAAAATCTTCGTAGATTAGTTTGGCTCTTTCGCATTAAATTCGAGGCAATTGTTGTTCGCGAATTAAGACGTCGAGCATCGAATTTGTTATTACACAAATTCGAGACACCATCCGGGTTCGTTCACCTATGCCCCAGGACCTCTCAGAGATCGATAAAGGTTCACTCTCCTTTCAGAAGCCACCACATCTGTTTAGAGACCCTCGGTTCATTAAGAAAGACTCTGGTAAATAATATATTGGATAGAAGATAGATTTCCATATCTAGGGTTGTCTTTTTTTTTTTTTAATATTGCATATGTAACATTCTCGATAAAGTTATTTTAGGATTCGTTCAGCTGCTCGATAGTTTACTGGTACGTGATTATACGAACGATTAACGAATATGGCCCAACCACAGCGGCCACTATTAACGGTGGTAGCCAGATTTATTTATCGTTCGGCCAATTGCCAAGAACAAGGAGTCGGTTTCCGATTGATTTGTTTCGCTATTTCTCTCCGTCGGTTTTCCCCCGTATTTCTCTGTTCCTTGGCTTCTCCCATCCCATCGATCGTTCCTTTTCCCCCTTTCTTGTTTATTACTTGTCCTATCTTCAGTTTCCGCCCATCTACACCCATTCCATTAAAACATTCTGGCACACATTCCGGTGTATCCTTTCGTTTCGACATGCATTCCACAACCTTTCCTCCATTCTTACCCCAGCCGCGTCTTACTTTTTGCCAGACTTTTTCCTTTAATCTATTTTCCTTGCTAATCCCTCCGCCTATTCCATTTCCATACCATCTAATTTCCGCATTTTTCGTTCCACGGAACCTCCCCCTTAGTTACCTCCTCTGATTAAATCACTCTTATTGCTTGTTTTTCTCTGGAGCTTCCTCCATTTCCTTACTGGTTAAATATTTTATTTACCCGGTACCTGGTGGAAAAGGAACCTTCCAAGGATCGTGTATAACAATAGGAAAAAAAGGTTTCTTAACCCTTTGACTCGACATTTTTCCAAGTCCAAACCAAAGAGATATCGTACACTTGAAAATTACAAAATACAGCAGTAACGTAAATGAAACAGATATTTAATTGAATTTGTTTAAATTTTCCTATTTTTTAGTCAACGTAAACTTCAAATAAAACACTTAAAAGCGTTGGGTGGTGCTGGTAACGAAATCGAAATATAATTCGGGAGTGCAAAGGGTTAAGGTCGTGGATATTATTTTAAAATGAAACCACGCGTTATAATACGAAAAACAAATTTATTCAGAAGAGTATGACAGAGATAGATCGTGTACTTTTTCTACTTTCGTCCGTTCTTCCAGACCCAGGATCTCGAGTACCGTATGCCATGACCAGCAGTATCAGACGGCCAAAAAACTATAGCGTGTTCTCTCGAGGCGATCTTTAAAATTCCTCTTCGCCAATCCCCTCCGTATTTGCTCGAGTATTGCGTTTGCATCCTCCGACATGTGTTTTATTCGTCCTGCAGCTTTGATACTAATATTCCCTCGCTTCCCTCGTTAAGATAAATCTCAAGTACTGATATTTAAGCTACTTCTCGACACGGTTCTCCAATCTCTCCATCTCGAATTTTTTTATCCTTCTTTCTTCCGCATTAATTCTACTTCTACGCGATCCTTTCCGCGATTATCTTTCTATATCCGCTATTAGTATTCCGAAGATAGCAAGGATTAAGTGGCATCCATGGCTCGCTTCCTCGATCGTCCATAATTTTTCCGATTGTCCATTTTCCTCTGATCCCGTTTCACCCGATCTTCTCTCTCTCTGATGTCTCCCTTAACATTTTCCCGGCCAACTGCCGGCTTTCAGATCGATGAAGAAACAGTACGCAGTTTGCCATCGTTTTCCAATATTAACCATCGTCCCTACTCGCGTAGCGCGAAACTTTAACGCGTTATCGTTTAAAAACGCGAAGGACCGGCGGTCAAATTGCTTTTTAACTTTGTTAACGATTGCTTCGGGGCGGAGAAAAGCGAACAAATAGTCCGTCGAAAATTTAGCTAACCATATGCAACTTCACTCCCGTGAAATATGATCGTCGATCTATGTGGCACGTTTCCAGCGTAGTGCTTTACGGTACCCAAATTCATCTTTCACGAGTTTCGACTGTTAACAAAAGCAAAGGAATCGCATGGAGTGACTAATAATTGATCAAATTTAAAGAATCAGTCTCTGGATCGATGATAGGTGGATAGCCTCAAAGTCGAGCTAGGAATCGGTGAACGCCCTGTGTAAATCTTCTTTAACACTAGAAAGACTGAAACTTAGTATATACCTATATTGCCCAAAAGCAGTCAAAATGACTGCATCGTGAAAGAATAACTAATGTGTAAAGAAATTTGTTTAAAATTAATTTTTAATATTATGTTATAATATTATGAATTTAGGGCGCAGAAATAAAATAAACAACTTGTTAGAACAAGTATCACTGCATAAAGATTCGAATAACAAGTACTACTTTAGCTTATTCAGAAACTGTAATTTATCAATAGGTCTGAATTAGGTCTGGGTTAGGTCTGGGTTAGGTCTGGGTTAGGTCTGGATTAGATCTGAGTTAGATCTGGGTTAGGTCTGGATTAGATCTGGGTTAGATCTGGGTTAGGTCTGGATTAGATCTGGGTTAGGTCTGGGTTAGGTCTGGATTAGATCTGGATTAGATCTGGGTTAGGTCTGGATTAGATCTGGATTAGGTCTGGATTAGATCTGGATTAGGTCTGGGTTAGGTCTGGGTTAGGTAAGCCCAAATCGACAATTTATCATGTACTTGTATGTTATCATGTGTTGATAATCGTAACAAAAATGAAAACTGTTATTTCAATACAGAGTCGAACTGGTCGTATAAGAAATTATTAATAAACGCATTTATATGTTGTACAAAAAGTCACAAAATTCTAAGAAATTGTGTCATTATATACATAATTGTTTTTCTAATTGAAATTAAAAAGCAGTCAAAATGACTTCCTTGGGCAATCTAGTGTTAAAGACGTTCTCTCGTTTGGGTTTCAGGTTTCGTTCGAACATCACCGACGTGACGGTGATCCGGTCGGTGTCGGACGCGGTGGAGCCGTCGAGCAAATACTCGTCGATGCGACGGTGCAACGGATTCCTTAGGAGGCCGGAAATCCTGGAGACGGTGTACTCGGTGGAGGAGGACGGCGATAGCGAGAACAATCAGGACCCGTCCGAGTCGACGGAGAACTCCGAGTGCGAGGAAAGACGGACGAAACACTTGGGGAACGGAAAGGGCAGGCTTCAAGATCTTTACGGTAGCTTCGAGAGACTCGCACAGGAGGCGGACTCGCCACCCAGCGAGAGGCCGAGGGATGAAAGCCAGCAGGCGCAAGTAAGCAGCCTTCTATCCCGACCCTCCTGCAAACAAGACACGAAATTAATTAATCATCCTGCTCGATAATAGATGAGTCCTCCGTTGCATTTTTCCTTTTGATCCTCTACTGCTCTATCTCGATGCAACGCTTTCGCTAACGTTGGGGGTCCTTTTCAAGAAACGCAGAAGCGAATTCTGCGTGTTCCTCGCTAACAAACGCACAACAGTTGCCAGTGACCGATGAAATAGCGTTCAAATCGGTTGCTAAATGGCGTTCGTACGGTTTGGTGGGTTGCAGGTCACGTACAACAGGGTAATGAGCAATCACAGATCAGTCACGAAGCCGAAAGACGTGAAGTACAAGAGGATAAACAAAGCGAAGTCGAAGAGCCTGGAGGAGCTGAGGGGACGTCTGAGGAATTGGGTGGAGAAGGGGAACAAGATCGCTATATCGTTGGATCAGTCTTACGCCTGAGCGAGAGCCCGTACCTCCTGAAAGTATATTGTAGGAATTTTTTGTTATTTTTTTTTTTTTTCTTTTTTTTTTTTTTTTGTTCGAATCCGGCGATCACGATCGACCAACGCTGATTACAAACTGCTTCGCTCTTGCGCGGTACGGGGATCGTCGTCGCGGCGGTGTATTTAATTGAAATTCTCATCGCTCCATGTGATATTTACTGTAGTGTCTCGAGAATAAAATTAGAATGGAACCTCACGCGATCGCGCGTTACGCGTGGACGATTTTCACCCACTTGTGATATATATAATGATTCTATTGTAATACGAGCACGGTTGTTATTAGTGATAGTAATTGTCGCGATCGAAGATGGCGCGAAACGTGGAGGGCACCAGGGCACGGGAGAGGAGAATATCCATCGGTGGATCGTTTCCTGTCCTCGTGTCCCCGTCTCTTCCTTCCGCGCGAGCGTAACTCAGCGTCGATCACGAAACCGCGTTGCCAAATTGTACAATCAACATTTCTGTCGCGTTTCTCGCCACGAGCATCCGTGTTATTTTCTCTAATACGGCGAGCTACGCGGTGATATATATATATATGTATATATATATTAACCGTTTCTCTCTTGTTTCCATCTCGACGCCATGTTTGCGCGCACGCGATGACACCCAGAGCTTTACCGTTTCCATGGTTCCCATTTTTGTCAATTACGACCGTTATACGATCGATGGTCGATCGACGCAACGCTCAGTGTCCGAGTGAAGTGTGTACAAATGTGTGTAAAATGGGGAAAGATCTTTGTGCAAGCTGTCGCATCGTCGAACAGGACTCAGCTCAATTTTTCTAAACGCTATATACAAACCGATCCGGGGATCGTTCTGAACGGGAACATACGAATGTCTCGGTTGCGTATGAACATACCACGGAATTGTTTCAGGGAACTGTGCGTAACTTGTTTAGATGACTGTTAGGGATAGCGGCGGAATCCATTTTCGGTGCTTCCTAATATATTTTTTAAAATTACAAACAATTCTCTGTGATCAACATAAACTATATCTCTGTAAGATCTACGATGCTCGTGCGTAAGAGTGATTATTGTACAAGTTGAACTTTCAATTAACCCTTTCTCCCAGTCTTCCTACGAAACTAATAAAACGATTTGTCGCCATCCGTAATGGTTTCTGAAAGGAGTGGGTCACCCTGGATAGTTGTAAGCAACCGAAATGTTTAAGCGGTCTCGTTTAAACGGTCCATCGTGCGTGTATCGCTCCGCGTAAATCTTTTCGTCGCCTACGCGCTATGTCCACGCGCGAAAGAAAAATCTTCTCGGTGCATCAAATGCGAAAACGATATCCTTTCGGGTGCGTGTTCTTTCCTACGACGTTCAACGGACAAATCGCGCGCGTTTTTCGGTACGGAACGTGTCACTCTTCACTTTTCTATCGAGATTTCGTTGCGAACTTGCTCACCGATTCGTCTGGACTAATCGGGGCAACTAACATTTTACAGCGAAATTATTTATTTCAGAGTCGTAAACTTCTATTTTCTAATATAAAACAATCGAATTAGAATCACGTTCTATGTATTGCATTAATTTATTTAAACAATTGTGAAAACCTTCGATCGTGCATTTTACGCAACAAATGTTTAATCAGAGTGTTATTGTTCCGGCTAGCCCAGTGGAATGAATATCTGAACTGGAGATAATCAATATTTATATATACGATGCATTTATAGGGTATTCAATAACGCGGATTATTTTTCGAAATTTACGAAAGTCCTCTTCCGATGCAATTACATTTATTCGCGGGACACGAGTCACTCAGTAGCGTAACGATATTTTTCGATCGTTCTACACGTCGTGTACGATAATGTACGTGCACGAGCGTACTCTTTTATTTATCGGTACGAGAGAGAGAGAGAGAGAGAGAGAGAGAGTGTGTGTGTGTGTGTGTGTGAGAGAGAGAGGAAGAAATGCATAATTCCGCACGCGTCGTTTAATTTTTCGCGTGGTTCTATCGAGGCGAGGAAAATTCTTCTTGCGGGTACCTGTTCTTAATTTTAAAACTACGATAGAACGTTTTCTATTTCCGCGTTCCGTTCGAGGTGAATGTTTTTTCGATTCCTGATGCGCCGCGTTCTCGAATGGAAAATGGTACAAGGAAGCTATCGACAATCCCCACTTTTTGAAATAAAAACAGAGTAACGAGAAAACATATATTATATTTAAACAACAACAACAACAACAAAAAAATGGAAAAAAGGAAAAAAACAAAACTAACCGGCAAGTTCTTTTGTAAATAAGACGAAAGAATCCCGTATGTAATATTTTAACTACGTTAAGAAATCCTCGAAATTCTGCAAGATTATCATGTAGATAGGTCGCGTTAGCGAGAATAATAAATTTTAACGATAGAGAATCGAGTTTTATGTTCCTGTAGGCTGCATAACAGCCACCGAGAGATCTCGTGCATAATATATTTGCGCGCTTATAAATGCATATACTTATAAATAAAAGTGCATATAAATATATAAATATATATATATATATATATATATGTATATGAAATATTATATGAAAAAAAATGTGTACTTGAGTCTACTATCGACGATGAAACGGATGAACGAACATCGTGAACGACACGCGCGAATCGTTATGGAGTACTCGATCGCATCGGTACGCATGCGTGCAAGTATACACGTGACAGACGCCGCGAATCGGCGCCGCAAAGAAAGTCGATCGTTATTTTAATTTATGTAAAACATTGTAACGTGTATACCGTCGCTTTCTTAGGAAATTAGTAGACTGCTACCGATATCAATAATTACTGCATTATTATTTTAATTATTATTAAATCTTAAATAAATTATAATGCTAACCTGTCGCGTGGCTCATTCCCCTTTTCGAGTTTCAGGCACCGCGTATACCAAAAATTCTCGATTCCCTGATCGTCAAAGATAACGACAAGTCTCTGCTTATTAAACTTATTATTCAAACAAGGTCTCCCATTCCAAGAGAGAAATGTAATTTGGCTTGCTTTGAACAATTCGAGTAAAATATCAATAAAGGACTAATCTCTGGATTTTATGTAGACTCACATCCGTCCCGCTGATGTGGAATACGAAGAAAAGAAGTATCAAGAGATCGAAACATTCCTCGATGTTGTAAGTCATAATTATGGGCTATGGAATGAAGTCTTGAGGATTGAAGATCGAAAACTTAAAAGTTAAGTACGTCGTGTCACGACAATATTTAAAATAGACTGCCCTAATGTGTTAAGCTGATCTAGTGATTGGTCCATTTACTCAGTTTGCCGCCAAATCGAACTAGGGATGTTTCGAGAGCGACAAAGAAATGCTCACGTTCGCCATCTTTCTCGATTCACCGAAGCTGTCCGTAGTGCAGAATTCACAAACGCAAACTCGTGCATTAGTTTGCGTAAGCAGAGATGCAATTTTCACCGGTCTATCGTCTGTTATTTACGTCTATATTTCCTTAAAACGACAAAGATCAAGGTAAATAGCAAAAATATGGTGTTCCCATAGTATCGTTACCTGATTGGCTCGTTTCAAAAGGCTCGAGCCAATCGGGTACTCGCGGATCGCGGCTCATCAAAACAAAACAACATGGCCGCTACTACGCACAACGGAGTGTTAACCGGAATGCGTTGTTGAAGACTGATCGGCAATTACAAAAAAGTATAATTAATTTTCGTTACTGACATGATCATCGTGGTATTCCACATACTTTATCTTCTCGGAAAGTTTGTGTATCAAAATTACGGTGCCAAGAAACAAAAGGCCGTGGATGATGCCGTGATGGACCCGGAGAAACCGTTCGAAATATCTGAGAGAATTTATCTGATGGTTGATCCCGAAACACCTCAGTACGACGACAACAAAAAACCTATAAGATTCTTCCCGCCCGCGTACGTGCAAAGATACACTGCCGTGAGTGATGTACTCAACAGTTCAAAGTATCGAGGAACATTACGCAAGGTACCTTAGTTCACCATTACTGTCCCTCGCCGATCAGATTGCCGCGCAGATACTTTTTCTTATCGACAACATTTCGAATTCGCAAATTGTGTTGTCGTTTGCAAATGTTCAGGAATTGTTTCTGTACAAAGCGTATAATTTTATCGGTTGTATAGGATGTTTCGTGAAAAACCGTAAAAGACTTGTGCCGTTTATTAGGGTCACTCCGATTGTATCATAGTGGAAATCAAATTTCGTTCTCTATAGTCTGTATTGTTTTCGTAAAAATTTCTTTATATAGGTCGTTGACTTTGGGTGCGCAGATCTTAATTTTTTGGTCTATCTAAAGAATACGGATGGTATAGAGGAAGTACTATGTGTAGATATTGACAGATCATTGTTAGAGGCTCACGAAGATAAGAGTATCCCATTGATCTCTGAATATGTACATACCAGGACGGCACCCCTTGTAATCGAAGTGTGCGAAGGTAGTGTTACTCATAATGACAAAAAATTAGAAAAGACAGATGCTGTGATTTGTATAGAATTGTGAGTCAATATTTTAACATAGAAAAGTTATTACATCGTTGGCTTTAGTTTTCTATCGGAAAACTAAAGTACACATATTTTTCTATGGAAGGTACAACAAATATATTGATGCTTCAGGATCGAGCATTTGTATCCGGATACTTTAAACGACCTCCCTTACAATATTTTTGGGTTTATAAAGCCAAAGGTGGCGATCATAACAACGCCAAACGCGGATTTCAATGTACTGTTTCCGAATTTTTCCGGATTCAGACATCATGATCATAAGTTCGAATGGACTAGACAACAGTTTCAAGATTGGTAAATAGCAATTAGTTTCGTCTGAGAACTTTAGGTATATAAGACTATATTAAATACATAATTTTATTAACAGGGCTGATAATATCGTTTTAAGATACCCAGATTATATAGTAACTTTCCACGGTATTTGTAAAGGGCCGGAGGGTACGGAGCACTTAGGATGTTGCACTCAAATGGCAGTGTTTCATCGTCTCAGCGAAAAAGATAGCTGTAATTTAGGCATCGAAGGTTTATTCAAAACTGTTGCCAGACACGAGTATCCATTTCACGTGGATAATCGTTCGGACGAGCAAAAGATCCTCGACGAGGCCGCGTATTACATCCGACACTTAGCGTTTCAAGATTGTAACATGGACGAAGAGGTGCCATTGAAAAAATTATGGGAAATGTTGAAATCATTTCACATTTCAATAGACATATTAAGAACAATCTTGGAAGAGGCTGGCTGGTCAGTTGTGAACCGTGAATTTGGACCAGTTATACAAGTGCCACCGCAATCCACATTCTCCGATTACAATAACGTAGAAAACGAACTTTGGTCTAACGATTCATCCATCACGGGCGAGGATGACTGGGACAGAGATCCTGGTCCACCTGAAAACTCTTCCAGACTTTGGGAAGAAAATCTGTCTTCGGAAGACTGGAATAACGAGAACTGGGACGAGGAACCAAGTATTATTATCCCACAGAACAATTCTGTCGCGGAAAACAACACATATCTTTTCGACGGAGAAAACATGTTACTAGATAGCATCACAGACACGACGAAAGATTTTGAGATTTTAGAAAAATATATCGAAACTAACAGCAGAAGAAATCTAGATGCAAAACCCTCGCTTTCGAGCAACGTCGATCGTATGATCGTAGACGATTCGAACGATTTATCGTTGGGCCATAACGTTCCACCAGATTTAAATAAATCGATGGTGTTGTCCGGTACTTCTCTCGATATGAATTTAGAAGACACGAAAGATTCGTCAATCGATTTGAGCGCGCAAGACGGCGCAGTGTCGAACACCGCACAAAAACTAAGTCGTATGTTAGATTTTCAGGAGCACATGTCCGTTTCGCGCGCGTCTACTTCACCCGAACCATACCTATTGCAAACTGTTAAAATGGGCCAGCATTTAAGGGACGATAGTCTGTGTAATGAAAGCATGAGCGGTTACTGGATGTTGAACAATTCGCTCGATCGGTCAGACGCATCGAAAGATACGATTTCGGATGCAAATGATGATAAAGGTAAGAAGTTGTCACCAAAGAACGATCTAGATGTTTCTAATAGCTTATGTAGCATATATTTAAATACGTCGTATAGAAATGGCGAAGATTCCGAATCTAAAAATGTAAATAGTAACGCAGACGCAAGCGGGAGATGTTCCAGTACGAATCAAACGCAAAGTGTTCAACAAGATGGTAACTTTCCAAGAGAAGATAGATTACAATTAAACAACAGCGTATCTTTTAATAGTGTTACGATAGATAGTCAGCCGCAATTTACGAGCTCCCCGAAAATCGATGTAAAGGTAAATACCACAGGTAAAAAGCGAAGGTCCCCTGATCGTAGCGAGCAAAGAAACAATAGCGATTCGTTAAGCACGTTAAAGCAACTTCAACTAACAAGACTTAGTAGCAATAATTCATTAGAGAGTACTAACAACGCGTCTTTGCAAAGTAATACCGATGTCGATGTGCGTACAATGTCAAACGTTAGCTGTAGCGCAATAAATATGCGATGCAACGAAAAACAGGATCCTGTATACGGGATAGATTGCGGGAACGATGTGGTGGATCATTCTAACGATAGTACGTTTACCGATAGCGACGCGTCAACGTTAACCGCTTCGTTCAACGATGACAAACAAACGTCGAAACAACTATATTTAACGGAGTCTCCTAATAAGGACGAAAGCGCAATGTTCACCACGATCGAACAAAACGAGACTGCTGCAATAAACCCAAATAATATTCAGTCGATAAATTGTGATACGAAGTTTCAGTTAGCCGGGCAACAAGTAATCGTTCGACCGGAAACCAGCGACGGCGTTAATACTGAAACGAAGTCTGTATCGCAGAAGGATACTCGTGAACCTGTAGATAGTACCAAAATTTCTTGCAACCATGCCAAAGATGTTAGCAATTTAAAGAGTATAATTCTCGTGTCCAACGCGTACGACGAAGAGCCAAACCGCGTTCAGTCTACGTCGGTATCGAGACAGGATGGACCAGCCGAGTGTAGCGCGAACAATCGTGAATTGAAATGTAAAGACGCGAGTCCTAACGATTTAGAGATAGTGGAGAACATCGAGGCAAAGCCTTCTTCGCCGGAAGCCGTGGAAACGCCGCCAAACAGCAGGTCCCCGGAAGTGATGGACTCCGGATACCCGAACTCAGCCTCCGCTCAGGATATGACGCCGGAATATGACTTGTCGAGCATAGCACAAGATCACATATCTGATTCAGAACCACCGAGTATAGCAGAAGCGCCGAGACTCGGGGTCCTCGAACCGGTTGAGGTTGAAAATGGCGATCTAGTGAACAACAACAGAGACGGAGAGGGCAATAACATGATAGCTGTGGAGTTGAACGACGAGTTAGAAGACCTGTTGCTGATCGACGTGCTAGAAAACGATCTTGAAAACGAGAATGACATTTACGCGATGGAGAATGATTTTCCTATCTGGTTGTTAAGAATCCTCGACATGGCCAACCCCATCGACGTCGAAATGCAAATCAGGGATCGTAGAGAAGCGAGGTTTCCTGACGGGATACATAGTAATTGATCATTCTTGCTAGTATTTTTTTAATATATTTCACTCTGTTAGGACACTGACATTGTATTTAATTTTCTGTACAAGTAGGAGGCGACGTCAGGTACGTCAACGTAGATCACGACGAAGGATTCGATAGTAGTTCCGAGGAAGGGGATATCGATTTAGAAAACAATGAGATAGAGGTCGAGAACAACAGTGACGACGGATAGCGAAAATGGTTCGCACAGTGATAGCGGAAGCGATCGGTGGACTACAGGTGATACGTGATACTATTGAAATAATTATTATCTAGATGATCCCACATATCGTACTCACGTATGTTTACGAATCTGCGAATAGCAATGTGAGAGTAATACTTTGTGGACAGTATTTATTTAATATTTTTCACATTCTATTCGTTACGTGAATGTGTTTTTTGTTTTGGTTTTTTTTAATACGTAAACTCCAGTATATTATTACGAAGAGCAATGATCGAGTATTGTCGCAAAGTTGCGAAAAAGATATTTTTTTTTTTTTTTTTTTTACTTTTTGTTTTTCGAAAGAAATGAATTGTTTCTGTTTTTTTTTTTCTCGATATATATATCTTTTTTTTTTATCTCCTTTTATTTATGTACTTTTCTCGTTGAGGTTGTCTTTGCATCCCGTCTATCGATGAATTAACGTCTCTGGTAAAATCGAAACTGTGTTTCAGTACCAATAATACCTGCACGCGGTTGTATACTATTAATAAGATCCGCTTGTTACCACTCGAAGCAATTAAGGTGTCGAATTTGAAAAAGATATATACATATATTTTCTTACGATTTTCAAGACTTCCTCGTCATGTTGTTTACTTAAGCATCGTAAGATTTGTGAGGTGCTGTTTTTACCTGTGTGTATGGCTTACGAAGTTTATCGAATACGTTACGTTTTTTTTCGTATGTTCGCCCGATTACCCCTATTTAAATAAACCATTACATTAATTTATGATGAAAGTTTTTGCATTGTAACGTTGAAAAATCTATCTAAGACTGAAAACTCTGCATATCGTTCCGTTTCCACGGTACACCGAACATGGACAAATAAAATAAAAATGTATCTTCCAAACGAAAACAGGGGTTGTTGCGAATGTGTTCTTAACCTTAAAGATGCCCAGCGCCAATGTAGACAGATACGATATTCTTCTTTATTTCAATAATAGTGGAATGACATTACAAGGTGTACAGTGATATATACGTAGTAATTCTAAATCATTTACATGACCTGTTAGTAATTTATCCGTATAGATATATTATTTTTTTAGTATTTACAGAAAAGTATATCGTTTGTTTCATATAAGATGCAGGACTATTGCTCAACTATTGTATGAATTTCTAGAGCGATCGTAATCTTCGCTCTCGATCCTGTATATATTATTCGACAAATATTATTTGAACGAAAATCCAATTAAATATCAAAAATAAATTATCGAAAGAAATTATCGTCGCCACGTCTCTTCCGTGAACGTTACGATGAAAGATAATGGCATAACGTAATATGAAATTGCTGAAATTGTGGACCATGATAATACGGTTCACGTTGTCAGGAATTCGAAAGGAATTAACGCGCGTAGCTTCGTCGAACGAATGGCACTAATTACTAATTTATAACCTAAAAATGTGCTTTCGAGCATTCACGGGTGTGTTCTTTCGTTTCGTTATTCGCGTAACAAAAGTGTGTTTAGGAAGTATCCAATTAAGTTCCGATCTTGATTAGTGCCTTAATGTAATTTATGGCCCTCCGTCGAAACGTAAATGGCAAGTTAAATGTGCTTCCGAGTATTTTCGAAATCTCCGTTAATTTACATAACCAAAGTCCGCGAAAGAACGAGTGACAAAAAGATATGTATGTCTCGTGTGGCAAAATACGATTACGTGTCTCGCGTTACGTTACTTCGTACCGTTGTTACCATATTAATCGTTCGTTTATCAACACTGTTGAGATAGCAAGAATTTGTATAAAAATTAAACAGAAACGTTCTCTCTGTTCTCGCGAGCTTCGTCAATGGCTGAACGTTACTCGTGGCGATTTAAAGAGTTAGTGCAAGGCGTCTTACAAACGCCTTTTTTTTTGTCTGGCTTGAAATATCAGGGGTATTCGAATAAAGGGAAAAAAACACGTACTCGCGTTACATTGGAATGTCGCAATGAATCGGTACAAAAAAGTAAATGAAACCGCAGACGTTTCGCGATCCATCGAACGTGGAATCCCCGATTTTCTGCAGTCTGTCATGTTCGTTAAGTGCCTGAGAGTATCGTGTATGTACAGTGTAGAATTCTATAGCACTTCTATCGTTCACATCTTAGACTAGTTTCATACAAAACGTAGTGTACTTATCGCTAACGTCTATCGTGTGATGTCCTTCGTGTTATCGTAACGCGTCCTACTTGCATAATCGATCGCTTATCGATATGACTCTCTAAAACTTCGCGTGAAACGTTTCGCTGAAGCGCAAAAGGAATAAACAAAAACATTTTTTTTTTTTTAACGATAACGACCAACTTCCGCGCCGCGAAAGTTTCGGTAAAAATGAGTATATTCGAAAAAAGTAACAAAAAAACTTGAACAAAGACGTAACTCAAAATCGAATATCAGCGCCGTTGGGGTAAAGCTGCCATCGCTAAAAAGCACGCGTCGAGCACGCGTGTTCTTAACAGATCAAGTGGAATAATCTACGTGTTATCGTGGATGTAAATTGCTTATTCGGTCTCGCGTCTGAAATAAGTCACCTGTAAAGTACGTTGTCCCGCCGTTCTGTCTGGTTAAAAAGCAACCATTACTTTGAAACGTAGACCCAGCCTGTCTTTTCAATATCATGGTCGTGGGTTTTCCCTTCCGATTCAACGTACGTTTTATCGCGTACCCGCAGGTACACGTACGCGTTCGAATCGAGGGACTTGCTGCATCACACAACTTTCTTTAGATTTTCGCGAGTCTCGCGACTGCGGGAATGTATCAAGTGATGCATTTCACCTACGGGCGCGCTGTCCCGCCTCAGATCCTTCATCAAAGAAGGAGGTGCCATGGCTTCTCTTTTATTCGCCGCCTCTTTTATGCTGGACAGCGTTTTGCTCAGCCATGGCCAGCTGTTTCTTGCAGCTTGCAATTCAGATGCAGTCGCGTGCAACTGATGCGTTAAATCCTATGAAAAGAGGTCGAACATGTGATCAGAGGTTCCATAAAAAATTGTAGAGGTTCTAGGTATGCTAAAATTGATGGTCCAAGCTTCAAGGTACATACAGCACTCACCAAAAAAGTTGAGGACATGGTTACAAAATGTGATGTATTTTACAGAAGCTCTAGCTTGGATCATCCATATAAGCAGGACGTTTATGTACCTGGTTTCTGCATTCGGCCTCGACGTGGGCCAGCTTGGTTTGGGCCAGTTCTAATTCCAATTCGCGTACCCTCTCCTGTACTCTGTGCAGCATAGGATCTATCCGGTTCTCTAGAGGATGCGAGATATCTGCCAGTATGTTTGACGAGTCCGCGATGAAACTTCTACATTGATCGCACTTTGAGACCTTGGACTGTAAAGTACAATAGTTTTGCTCCGTGAGAACTTAGGGACTCCAGAGTTATCTTTTACTGCTTACCCGTAATTCGCTGAGCGTTGTTTTCGCAGCGTTATAGTCATCCTCCAGACGTTGACAGATCTGAAAGTAGTTTTACGGTATAAAGTAGTTCAATTACGCTAGAACAATTGTCTATCCGTGTATACCTGTTTGTAATCAGCAATAATGACGGTACTGCGTCGGCTCTCCGCGTCCGCTCTGGCTACTTCTCGTTGTAGCATCTCTTTAACTTGAACCAGCTCAGCTTCTAATCTTTGTTTCTCTTCCTCGTTCCTGGCCACGGTGCCACGTAGTTGTTCCACCTCGTTACTGTACTCATCCGCGTTCTCTTGCGCTTCTATATCATAAAGACATATATTATGCATTAATATTCAGTTTGCATCAAGATACAGCACGACATAAACAAAGCAGAATGTATAAAACAGGTTTATATAATCGTGTCTATCTAGACAGACTGTATAGAAATGCTTGCATTAGTATCGTTACTTTATTGAGTAGAATATTATGTTTGAAGATACACAATAGTTCCAGTGGTACTTGCTTACTCTTTATCGATGCCTTTACAGTATGGCTCATCGTGGCGACAATGAAATGTTAAAAACGGATAACATCAACGTTACTGGCGAACGTGCGATATCTTATAAAAGCAGATAGCAATGTCCCACTACGCACTCCCTTTGTGCAAAACATACCATGGCCAATTTTAAACTGCTGGCACAGCTGTTTAGATACGCTTGTTACCTGCTATAGCGCACAAATGTGTATGTAACAGCGCTGATAAATGAAATTTGAACACGTTCGAATTACGAGAAAGTGACCGTGCGACGTAAATATAAATCGATTCGTTGCTAAAGAACGATATGGATTGCCAGCCGATGCTGAAACATTTCTGTACAATTTCCCGCCAATCCCGGCAGCCATTGTAAACAGACTCCCTTATCAAGCATTTGGATAATATTTGCGTTTATGCGAAAACAGTGTTAGCCCCCGGATAGAAACTTCTTGGAAATCCTTACAAAACAGTTAGTAGTTAGTAAAATAAAATAAAAAAAAAAAAAAATAAAAGCTATAAGCGTTTTTGTACTCTCGTACAACTACCGTAATTTGCATGCATTTTCCAACTGAAGCAAGGAAGTGAAACCAAAAGTATCGAGGGACAGGGTTTGAACACAGGTAAATTGACAAAAAACTGAAAAACGATATTCTAAACGGACAATTTATTTCCAATAAAGAAATAATAAATAATCTTGGGTATATGTATATGTATATATATAAAGTCAATACAAGACAGTGTACAAAGCAATGTGCGGCCGAGTAGGCAAGAAAATATTTTATTATACACACAACATAGAATCATATAGGAATTTACAAATATTACAAAATAAATAAGTTCAATAAAGAAATCTGATCGAGAACAAAGATATACAACTGAACGCAACGTTCAGGAAATGATGCTTTTTGTCTAGAACAAAAAGCGATGCTATTAATTCTATGCTAAGTTAGCAGTTGCGACAACTTAAGCGTAACACAACCAATCAACGAAAAGAATTGCATTTATTCTGCACGGTAACGGTTCCTGAGACTTCAGCTAATCGAGTTTTAATCCGATGAAAGTTTTCTTATTGCAATTGCTAGATCTAGTCGCGATAAACGCTTTTCCTATTTAACGAAGTTTAAGAAGAATTGAACACCGATAAAAATACACGACAATAACAACAAAAATATATATATATATATGTGTGTATATTCGTCAATTGGTTGAAATCTCATAATCGTACACGGTTATCACTGAATTCGCGGTTTTATCAGCACCGTATGCACCGCATGTGTGTCACCGCTAAGACTGACAATGTCCAAGAAATGACGAAATTAATCGTAAGAGATCGAATGAAATATATCACGTGCGAAGGCAAAAATAAATTTGCTCGATAGCACATCAAACAATGTGTAGAAAACTTTATCAATCACTATCGAACAATGCTGAATCTCATTCAGTGGTGCACCAATAATATTATATAACAGTTTTATGTCTTTTTTTTTCCATTTTACTGCAAATTACATTCTGCCATAGAATTCTAACATCCGCAAAATGTCGAGAATTTTATAGCGGTCAACCACCACCTGTATTGTGCAATAAATTATTTCTCAACTACAGAGTAAAACTAATTTCATTGTAATATCGAGTGATTTTTGCGAAGGTAAATTATGATTGTTCCTTCGTGAGACTAGAAAGACACAGTTTATGCTTTGTTATACAAGCACAAAATCGTGTCATGCATACAAACTACGTAACAAAAAAAACTAGCAACGCATCTTCATTATCTAATGGTCAATAAATGGTTACGACTTAATTGGAAGAAGCAATCGGGACGAATCGAAACCGTAAGCTATTTGGTCTGTTCTGCTTTCTATCCGTGAACGGGTCGCGTGAGTTAACTCCCAAGTAAAAAGCACACAACGTTGAGAAAGTGAGTGTGTGTCGGTCGGGTTCGGTGTTTTACAAAACTTGAGATTCAAAAAACAGCAAAACGAAGCTCTGATCGCGTGAAGCTTCAGTGTAACGTAAATAAAATTTACAACCACCTGACAATGTCTTCACGTTCTTTATGCAAACTGCACATGCACTTTAAGACAATACTGCCCTCCGTGGTGTCAAAGGATTTTTTTTTGTCAGATGTACAGCGGCATTAGTGAGTGTGTGTTCAAACATAAAATATGAAGTTACCTTTTAACGTTATAAATTCTGCTTCATATTTCTTCAGTTTCTTTAACGTAACCGAGCAGGCTAACTTCATTACGTAGCGCGACACTTCTTCGTTGCGACAACGTTTCGGCAAATGCACCCGAAAGTATTTCAATATACTCTCAAAGTCCAACTGAAGCAGTTCCTTTTTGCACAACTAAAGAAAACAGTTTTTTTTTTTTCCAGTTGCATTTTCTATGCAAAAAAAAAAATAATAAATTTAAAGAAATATGTTTCGAAGGCTTACCATTAACAACGCCAGGGCGACTTGAAACAATGTATCGAGTCCTTGCAAAAAGAATACGTCCAGAATGTGGAAAACGAGATAAAGTGGAAATCTGGCTGTGAACAGAGTTAAAAACCATTGTGCGGCGAACATGTGTGTCTCCACGCCACGGTCACAGAAATGTTTATACAGTTCTGGCAATTGATCCTAAAAAAATCGATAGTGGTTACAAGTGATCGAATACCGTAATTATATAGCATCGAATGGGGGAACGTGTGTCGCCTACCTCTATTAATCTGTTAAGCTGATAAAATCGCATATGGAGATTGTCGAATCTATCCTTGTACAAGTCTCTTAAACCATAGTCGTACATTAACTTAACCAAGACACAGAAAGCTTGCTCTTCCGGCATCTACAAGAAACACTTGACGTTTTTCTTGTCTTTCAACCCCCTAATGTATCGTAACTATAGGTATGCTCCCTACAAACGTAACAAACTAGATGACAATAACTTACGTGAAGTAGTAGACTAGCGACTAAAAAGCTAAGTCCCTGACAATATCCGACTTCTTCGTCGTACACCGCATACGCTTTACTTATTCTGTACAAAGAATCTTGTCCTAAACCGCCAGTTTCTTTGAAATAGTCATGGGCAGGAAATGTTCTATTAATGTCTCTTAAAATAACGCTTTCGCAACTGCTTTCCTATAGATGCGCCATTAACACGATTATTACATTAAAACATACTTACTACCTCGTACATTATATCAACTTACCTTGGTGATTAAAGTTTTATATTTGTCCATCATTTCTTTCGAATTGTCGCAATTGCTCAAACGTTGCCATACTTCGCCGCGTAGAGCTTCCGGAATGCCTTGTTTCGTTAGTTTTATAAGAAGTTTCGGGCGTTGTTCGTTAACTAACCAACTAATCAGAACCTCCGCCCAATTAGCTAGCTCATCTGCGGAACAATCCTTCGACACTTCACCTGTACCGCTTAACATCGGTTCATCTCCATCTATGTAACATTGTAAAGGTACAATTAGTGCACTCATAATTTCTGTCTGTTAACACGTTCGCTGCCGAGACTTCGTGTCAGCCGCTTCTCCGCGCGTGGCGCTGTTTTCCATGCTTACAAGTTTTTGCTTTTTCCCTGTGAACCAAGTGAAAGACCATCAACGCTGTGACATTGCCGGTACACTTACGACTTTTACGGTGAGAAATAAAAATATTCGAAAATAAAACGACGATAGCGTGTGCGGACACAGCGGCGAACATGTTAACATAGATACAAGAAATTTGAGACTTTTTTTTTTTTAAACCTGAATCTATTTCTTCTTTGGGCGTGAGAGTATCGATACTAGTTAACGACGGTGATCGAATCAGTGACGCTAAATTCAGAGCAAGGTTCAATCTGTTTCTGTCTAATTCTCCTGATGTCTCTATACTTTGTACTTCGTAATGAACTTCCGTCCCATCCCCGGATATTATCTAGAAGTTAATGATTTAGACACGCAGGGCGGATACCGTTCGTACTAATGCGAAACTATTTCGTATCTTCTTACTTCTTTTGAATTAAGATAAAATTGTTGTACGAGGCTTCGTTTATTAAAGTACCAAAACCTCTCGTTCTGTGGAAACACTTTAACCGACGTCTCTATTATAAATCTCACGGGTTCCCGAATGCAATGTATCACTAAATCGACGGCGACTGTTATGAAAATCTTCCCCTCCCTGGGTGTCTCTACGTTAAGAGTTTCCAAAGCTGGATCTGCAGGATCCCAAAGCCCACACATATTGTAACATTGTTTATCTTGTACTAATGGACCGGCATTGATTTGCTGAAAACATCATTTCAATGTTAGAAACCATGTTACAAGAGTAGAATGTATTTTTATATTACCATTTCAAGCAGTCTCATATCGCTGTGCTTAACGTTGCGACCGGGGCTAACAAGAACACCGAAGCACCTTTCAAGTTCGAGTGTAATTCCGCCTTCCTTGCTAGATACTTGCTGAATACTTAAACATACTTGTTTAGGTATATTACTTCGGAGTTTAAAACAATTTCTGTCTTTAGGAACCGTGCTGAAGCTCCCTTTTCCATCCTCCTCCTTTATTTCCATTGTCACTTCGAAAATAAATACACGGGAATTCGTTTTTTCGCTCCCATTGTTAAAGCCATTAAAATCGCTCCCTGTTAAAGAATTAGTCATCGATCGCGGTATTCTGTGAAACGCTTTGGAAAAACAAGCAGAGACTTGTCCCACCTAAAATAGATCAAAACCACGGTATGTTGATTGCATTTTAAAACAACCATCGTTTAGACTATAGGTTAAACATACCGCTTCCGGTATGTCACACCGAAAAACATGACACTGATAAATGGCAGATTCCAATGTGTCCCCGTGAGACCATGTAAAAGCAAAGCAAGCCGCACACGCTCCGGTATTTTCACCGCGTGCGTAAAACAAAATTCGTTGCACCTCGTAATGTGCAATTGGCTGTTGTGTACCAGCGTCGTACAAACTGTATCACACAAAGCAATGACACTAAATGCATTACAATTGTTCGACAATTTGCGTTAATTTTCGATAATTATACGTACACAACAGAACCTTGAGAACTACTAGGTACAGATACAGACACTTTGATTCCTAAATTAAGGGACTGTTCTGCATTTAGTATGTTCATGTTGAGCTGTATTTCACACTCTGATTTCGGTGCATTTATTGCTGTTGATCCCAAGTAAGTCACACCATTGAAAATAGTACACTCTTGTTGGACATGAGCTAAGGATTGTTTCATTGTAGTATAAATAGCACTTTGAGTCTGTCTTTTACAGTTAAAGTTTAGTTTTTAAAGGAAAAAAAATAGCAGTAATCTATACCTTCGTCGATAAAATCTTCTGGTTTCATAATGTCTTGTTTTTCGGATGAAACCATACAAGAACTTGTATCATAAAATTTACTGAATCCCACATTTTTTGTCTTTGGTTGATTTTGTTGTACGCTGCTTACAATTTTATACTCGTTACTTTCCATTTTCGAGTCCTCTGATAATACCTATGATTTTTATCAGTTGCTTAAACATGTACCAACGCATAATTAACAAAGATAAAAAAAGATTAGAGCCTCTGCAATCAACAGCAGGAGCAATGTATGCAAACCTCGCGAAGATTGTTTTGTAGATCTTCCAGGTTACCGTTATTAGCAATTTTTAACATTGGTAATTCAAGTACTGCTTGTTGTTGTTTTCCATTCCCTCTGTCATTTACAAACACATATTCGTCGCTCGTTGCCACTGATTCCATTGACTTAACACTCATACTATCCTCCATAACTATATCTATAATGCACACGTATGTGTAAATATTATCTGTTAATTATATGCATGTAGGAAGCTTCGTGTATTTACCTTGGATACAATAATTATAATACAAACTAAATACTAGAGACATAAAGAAACAAGCATCCGATCGATGTTACACGTAACTGTAAAATAAATACAATGATAAAACTAAAGAAGCTCTTTGCAGACACAAAAGATACACAACATTTGCATTCTATTTATGGAATAACAGAGAATCAAAGGAGGAATGTATTTCTCACGAGTGATTGCACTTTACATGCTATATCTGTAACGTATAATTTAATCATTTATTTTTAGTAGACTCGCAGTACCATTTGAGCGACGAATTCGATGCAAAACAATGGGAGAAGGATTTCAATTGGAATTCCTTAAAAGATCGAGCGTCACCCTCGCGATTTATCAGCGTGGATTCGTTGGAACACGATTAACAGGCTCGCAGTCGAAACGTAAAGCAAGATTCGCGCGTGACAAGGTTTGACACAACGTCGTTGAAAAGCATACTAACTCGAATTCATAATGTCGAATCGCCAGTCGTACGTTTCGGTCAATCATCTGAAATTCATTCTCGAACGGACCGAGAATCGTGTCTTCGGTTTTCCCTGTCGTTACGATATATTTTTTATTCGCTCGGTTCCCGTTGCACCCCCAGCGAAGAACAGGGATTACCCTCTCGATGAATCCAAAATTTTGCGGGGGACACCGGTGCCTCTCCTCGCGTAACCGTTCATCAAAACCACGGACACACCCCACACCCGCGATCCTTACACCGATCTATCAACGTTCGTGCGATTTTTAACGAAGCAACCGTGAACGTTTACATGATTTCACTCATCGTGGAAACGATCTCGTTTGACAGAAAAGACAACCTTGACGTCGGCCATTCGAGCACTAAGGTCCCCGGAAGTCTGCCTCGCTGCAACGAATTGCGGACAAACCGTCCCGAAGCGCGCAACAACTTCGAATCCGCTTCGACGATTAAACGTTTCGCCGAGTGGATCTTGTATTTATTTATAAGCGAGAGTGCTCCCGTCGTTCACGATGCATGACATAACGATTAGCGATGGGATCAAACGTATCGCAAGGTACATATGCAGTATCGAACCTTCGCAAGACATGTTCGAATCCTGTCCGAGTCCTTCCGACAAAACAACAGCGGTACTTGTAAATGGAATCAGACCCTGACGGAGTATGATCGAACCTCGTGCAATCACCGGAGAATATGTTAATAATATGTGCTTCTAAGTCCGATCATAATCTAACCAAACCAAATCGTAGCCCACCGTCGCGACACGTTTTCATTTGGTTACTCTATTGAACATTTCGCGCGGTAAATTTTATAGTGTTTCTACTTCCGTTGCTAATTTATGATTTGTGTAAATCGGTGTAGCATGCTACTGGCCGTCGACATTAATTAGTCTGTAATTATGAACGTGACGTAAGTCATAAATATTTCGTTTCTAGATACTTGGGTTTTCGCATTGAAACGTGTTCCAGTTATGAAAAGAAATGTTTCATGTAATATATTTAACATGAAATATATATATTATTGTATAATTTTATGAATAACTATTACATTTAACACGTTAACGTTTGTCTAAATTGCAATGTGAAACGTATAAATATTCAGCATGTCGTTATTGTATACATCATTTTCGAATATTCAGAAGTCAAAGAAATATGTTCGAAGTGCCAATCATACGTTAACGAAGGCAATTATAAATTATAATATAATTTTAGTTTTTCCTTTTTCGGTGAAGACTCTAAAATACGAAGAATTCGTCATATTTCCGTAGTTGTCTAATAAATAAAAACAATTCCATGAAGTTATGGTTCATCATTTGGATAACAATAATTGGGTCTTTTACCCTACCAGATTCTAATGAGATAGTTCGTAAATGACAAATTTTAGTAATAGAATCGAAGGGTGGCCATCTTTGCAAAAAAAAAAATATAAAACACAGGACGCTGCAGTTACAGTTTCGTAGCTAAATACAGTAAATTCGATCCGACAAAAAAGCAGTGATCGATTTATATTTATTTCGTACGTTTTCTTTTTGAACAGCTACTGCTATTGGAAAAAACATCGTTATCGAAGAAACTATAGTCGTTTCATGCTAGTAACAATAAGCTCTAAAGTTTCTTGGGAACGACGTAACAACGACCAATCAGAGAACGCATCTCGTTCATTGCGCGCCAATCTTGGAACCAATAAAATGGTGGCTGAAACGCAGCCTGTGCAGAACTGTCGACAGGTGGCGTAGCGACGCTGAACAGCAAGCTGCTATCAAGACGCGTCAGTTCACAGACGACCTCCGTTCCGTCGAATGTGAGCGGAAGTTTTTTTTGTCCGTAGAAAATTTTCGGGTTCTCGCATCGGATATACACGTCGTTGAGATTCGCGATTTCCGAAGGGCGAGCTGGTGATCATGAAAAGTGTGAGAATGTGCGAGGTCGGCTAGCATCGGCGGGAAATTAAGAACAAGTCGTAAACGAGTGAGTACAATTCACCGAGAATTCACGACTTTTTTCCCTTTGCTTCTTTTTCGGAGGCGGGCGTCGCGTGTCGTCATTGATAATCTCGCGATCGTATCCGTGATCACGTCGAGATCGAGGACCGCCTTGTCCCTCCCGTTTCCCTCGTGAAATCTGACAGATTCGATAGCCACGGACTCGTCCACTAGCTCGAAACGTCAACCGAGAGACGAGACGAGAGGTTATAAAGTCAAAGGCGGAAATTGTCCTGCACCTGCCATTACGAGACGATAGTTTTGTATTTCCTCGAAGCATCGAATCGCTGACTCTCGAAGCGTTCCTCGTCTCTCGGCGTGTCTCGTGTTCCGCGTAGTGTGCCTCGGGACCAGTGCGCGATCGTTCAAAAGAGTATCGTGACTTTACGACGCGCTCCTTCGAGTGCTCTGTTTGCATATAGTTTTAGAAAGCAACAAAAAAAAAAAAGTTGCGGTGCACGTAAACTGACAACAAATACGTGATGCAGCGATCGTTGCGTTTCAGTCGTCGTTGATAAGGTTGCATTGCTCGAGGGGAGGAGTTGCAACGAGTGTCGTTGCGGAATTTTTATCGATGAGCCCGAAAATTGCTGTCCCCGAAACTGTCATAGCAATGGATGGAACCGGTGAAAACGATATATCGCGCGGTTCATCCTCGTGTAATTTTATCTTCAAAGAAGCTCAATGTCAGTTCGAAAATGTCATCGCGATTATTCACGCGTCATTTCTAGCCGACCACGTTCCTTGTTGGTCTAGGCCCGAAATAAATAACAGACGGTTTTTGAACGTCGCGGACGATCGTCGTTCCGCGACAGGAATACGTATGCACGTTAAACCTATTCACAAAATGAATCGAATTCTTATTTATCAGCAGAGTTACGATAATGTTGAAAAACTTTTGCCTCTTCGATCCTTCGTATGTAAGTTCGTTTCATTTTTATTTCTCATAGTTACCATAACCTTTGTATGTATTTCACGTCTCATAAGGCATATACAGAGTGCTTATCGTAACGATATTAAATAAAATAACTCCGAGAGAAGTTACGGTGGAGATTAATAAATTTTTAACCGTCAACAAGTTGCCATAAAAATTATTCATTATTTTTGTTTTTAGAGGTTAGAAACGATTGTCGACCACCCTGTACCAGCGAAGCACAGCACAGACACGTGATAGGTGGTTTATTCAAATGAAATGCATCGATGGAAATGCGCGCATTTACGTCGTTAACATACTTGTTTGTACCCTTCCTTGCTTTTAATTAAAATCGTGTCGAAGACAGTGTAACCCCTTGAATGTTTCTATGTTGAGTGCGTTCGTTGCAATGTTCTCGGAAGTTGAAAAATTGTAGCCTGAAAAACAGTGCCTGTAAAAAGTTGAGAAATTCATCGATTCGTTCGTAAGCCGTTGTTTTGCACCTTCCATTCGCGTAATTGCGAAGCATTACCCTCCGTGTCTTCGATAAAACGTCTATGGACAACCGAGTTCGTTTAACTCTACTGGGATCGACCTCTAGTTTATACAGGGTGCTCGATCAACAACGATGCATCGAGCCATTTTTTTTTTACCATATTCTTTTACGTTTTTTTCGTAGCAGAAGTAACTCGTTCGTTCTTTCGTGTCTAATAATAAGAAACAGTTCATAGGATTTAGTATCTAATTGAATCTCGTTGATCGTTAGAGTTTCTGTCTTTGAAAGGTCGTGCGTTGATCTCTGACATGACTTACGTTCGCGATTTATCGCGAGATATTAATTTTTTAAACTTTCCTAGGAAACGAAATAAACGATTCCATGCGAAGGAAGGTGTATGCATATTATTTTAAAGACTTATTTATTATTTGTAATGGTAGTTAATCTTGAATGCTGTCGATTTGTTTAACAGTGCGTAACTGGTCTTGGGGTTAGATAAACGAAAAGTAAATATTTTATGTTATCAGCACGATCATGTCCACGTGCCGTAACGAGTGTGCAATGTTTGTAAACAACTTCATTAGATATTTTATCGATATACGAAAATAATTATAAAAAAAAAAATGTAAAACGTGATACGTTATTTAAAAAATGATAGAATTTTCGCCCGTCTTTGAACATTTTTAGCTTCGTTCGATTGGCGTAAAATTTTCAGAACGATTCAGAACAAATTAATGGCGCGAGTAAACTCCGACGATGCATTCTAAGAAGCTGCATCGAACAATAGGTAACGAAGATGACGACGTTTTGTTATCACCGTCAATTAATACAGTTAACGAAGACTCAATTATTCCTTCGATCTTATCTGCGTGACTCGTCGATAGGCGATTTCGATTATCTCGATCCCGACGATCGAAACTTTAGTCACTCGGAACGCTAACCTGGAAATTTATTGTACACGAAGTAGCGATAAGAGATTGGCAATTATTAAAAGCGCAGACCCAATCTCGGTAGGCGAGCATAAAAAATGGAATAATTAAAAGTAAACTAGATACGTTCTGTTGACGCGACAAAATGTTTGCTCGTAATTATTGCATTTTTTTAAATCCCCGGGGACTGGCCCGCGGAAGGCAACCTGCAACGAATCATTTTCAAACAATCTCGCTACTGTAAACACTTATCTTATCGTTTTAAATTACAAACTTCCCCCTCCACTCGCCGTGTCTAGTATAAATATCCTAAACGTTGCTTATACCCGTCAGTCCAATTTTCTATTCCGGGGAGAAAAACCGTGCTTGTTTCGTGTTTCGTGTTTCGCGTTTTTAAAGCGCTCAAGGCTGGCCGTTTGTTTGCGCGTCGGCTTAATTTCGGTGAATCGCGTTAAATTTGCTCGTCGCAGTCTGCTCTCGTTTCGCGCACGAGGAACACGGAAAGCGTCGAGTCGAACGCAGCTGCCTTTCCGCTTCCATTCGACTTTCAACGCGCGTAAGTTTCACCACGACACATCGATAACGTTATCAGAAACAAATTACCGTATGCTCGCACTTTTCTCCGAGTTTTATGCAACGTCCGGTTTACTGAACTTACCGATAATCTCTCGTTATCGGGCCTCTTAATTTTTATATCAAATCAAATTTAATTTATACGCGTTCGACGTACGTTGTCATTGTTTCCGTCGCGAAAGAAACAAGTTTGTGCAATGAAATTATTGTCTGGCTTGTAGCAAGATTGGAAACAGGTGTGACAATGTTGATAACAATCGCAGGAAATTTCATACAGATAATAGACGATAGTTCATTGTGAAATATTTTATCGTCGTCTTGAAATTTAATTCTCGTTTCACCGTCGTAAGAATTTTGACCATCTCTGCCTAAATATGCATACAATCGAGGACAGGAGCGGAAATAATTATTATACAAATTTAAATAAGAAACGAGGCAGTTTGAACCGTGAATATTATTTATTGACCTTATGAATTGATCAATTATTTTTGTTAGAACTTGTACGGCAACCTGTGGGAAAAATTTTAATGGGTGATTCTAGAGGCCAAAATAGGACAAAAACCAAGAATATCAATTTGTTGATTGAAATTTTTCGGCGAAATTGAAAAGATTCAAATCATTCTGGAAAAAATATTTTCGGCTGCTGGGGTCGATTACAATCATTTTTGGTCATTAAACATACCTCCGAAATCCTACCCACTTTTGAGAAAAAAATTCAATAAGTGGAGAAATTTTTCGGGAAAATTAAAAAGTTTCAGATCATTCTGGAAAAAATATTTTTAGTTGCGGGGGTCCATTACAATCATTTTTGGTGAATAGGCATACCCTCGAATTCCTACCCACTATCGAGAAAAAAATTCGAGGTGTGAAATTTTTCGACAAAATTAAAAAATTTCAAATCGTTCCAAAAAAATTATTGTTGGTAGCAGGGGTCAATTACAAGCATTTTTGGTCAACAGGCATACCCCCGAAATCCTGCGCATTTTCGAGAAAAAAATTCAGTACTGTTGGAACTTTAGATGTTAATAACTTTTTAACTAAGCCTCGATCAACAAACTGGTATTCTTGATTTCCGTATTATTTTGGCCTCCAGAATCTCGCGTTAAAATTTTTCCCAGGGTTGTCGTGTAATACAAGGTGTAAAATCGAAGGCGGCGGGACGCTAGAGTCGCGAACTGTCCATAGAAGCGCTAGACTATCAGACTTTTGATTTTACACCGTGTACAGCGTGTAGTAGACGGAGCATTTTGTGTCAATGATCGTGCGATTCATGAAAGAGTAGTAGAGGGCTGTTAATAATTCGTTCACCGAGTGCAACGCGCTTCTAGAGTCACCGTATTCGATGGCTACGGTCACCTACTTTACGGCTGGAAACACGACACCAGGAAGACCGCGATCGTTTTCGCTTTGCTCGCATTTCCAGCCGCAATTAGCGTTTCCAAAACAATTGACGTTCGCGCCGTTCACTCTCTCCCGGCTGCAGTTCTAACGCAACTTTCAAAGTCGCGTGACGACCGGTGGAATTCACTGCGCGGCTATAAAGGATTGTTTTGACACCAAAGACACGGAAATTGGGTTCACCGGGGTGGAATGGAACTTTGCAAGAATCGTCACAGTTATGGAAGTTATTAAAATCACGATATACCATTTGACATATTTACGCTTGAATATCATTGTTTTTACATCATATTTTTATTTAATATCGCGTCACGTTAATAGCTATTGCTACTTAATAAATAATAGCCTGCGGATGTTTATGAGAAAAAATATATTAAATATGCAGAATATTATCTAACCTATTTATAGTATAATTCCAAAATATTATTTTTAATTTTTTAAATTACTGAAACGGTGAAAAGCTCCTCTTAATAGTGCCATCTGCAACGATGGACAAAACATAGTACCCGTGGTTTTATTCGCTTCCGTTTCCCATAACTCTTTCGTTTTCCCTTCCCGTTTACGCTTAAGAGCATTATGACGCGACCGTCTTATTTTTAAGTCAGAGTTAGGCCCGCTGGTTCAGATTTACGTTCGGAAACAGCTGTTGCCGGGAGCGTCGTTGCTTCACGGTGGCATAATCGATCGTGAAAATGTTGGAACGGAATCGGCGATCGTTTAAAAATGTTGGAGACGCGTGATCGATGCAGATTGTAAATACCGCCGGTCACGTACTGGTGGGAACGAATGGGTTTGCCGATGTAAAAATCAAAGTTCGGTCCGTTCGGGCGAATGGTGAAACGAAACGGTAACCCGATAGGCGACCATCTGTTACGAGAGCCTAGCCAGATGGGGACCAGAAACAGTATATCGTTCTCGATCGTCTCGCTTTTTCTGCAGCTCTCATGAAAGTTTCCAGAACTCGCGCGCCGCGGCCTATATTACATAGACGGTTTCTCAAAGACGTAAACACGCGTTACGTGAAACGTTCGAGGCTCGCCAGTTTTTGTTACTGAAACGCCTCTTTAATTTCCAGTTCTCGACGGCGAGGATGGCGTGCAAAAGTAATTGCTGCTTTTGATCGCTGGGGACAGAGAGAGGATCGCGGAAGACACCATCACGTCCGTGCTGCGAGTAGTGGAACGATGTCGGCGAGGCTTCGGACGAGATCTGTTCTGCGGGCTTCAAAGCGTTCGACTTCGTAGCTGGATCGACGATTTTACGGGAGACAGGTCCGAAGAAACTCAGCGTTAAAGGATCGACGACTTTGGGAACCCAGGACCACCGTTCCTGGACCGACAGAGAACAGAAGAGACGAGAAACGAAGAAACCGACGTTCGTTGGAATTGCCTTAAGTAAATATAGAAACTCGAAAGCAGAGTATTTTGATAAACGTTTGGTGGGACGATTCGTCGCAAGAGTCGGCGTTGATGGTCGGATTAGACGCGGAATCCTCGCTGTTTGGCGCGCGTCGAAGGAGCTTTCTCGATCGAAGCTGGAGGTGAACCGTGATAACCGGGCGTTCTCGAGTCCTTTTTTCCCCCCCCGTTCGGAGTTAGCTTGTTGTGCCCCCCGCGAGCGTGTGAAACGCGATCAAAGTGAAGTGTCCCGGTCTCGGTGAGATGGCCTTCATGATGAAGAAGAAGAAGTACAAATTCTCGGTGGTGGTGGACCTGGAGGAGCTCACCGCGGTACCGTTCGTCAACGCGGTTCTGTTCGCGAAGCTACGGCTCCTCGACGGCGGTTCCTTCGTCGATCATTCAACGAGGTAAGCCTCTTTGGCTTTACGTAACCCTTCGATAATTACTTGAAAGAGTCGTCGTCGATTTCAACGACCTTGACACGTTTTATCAAGGTCGTGATTGTAAACAACTTTCGCCCCCCGTGCATGTTATATCCCCGGTTACGGTTCTTCGGAACAGATATTACTTTACAGAGGGAATGACCCCTTAAGAGTTACGATCGCAGACGAACGATATTTTGTCCAAGGGGGTCCCACCCGAACTCGAACTCGAACTCGTCCTTGGGCTTGGACAATACTTTCCCGGCGCTGTTCTCGAGGCATTGGTTTCTTTGTTCCCGGAGACGCGTATTCGTGGAACGAGAGTTCCGTTGGCGAACCACGAACACGAGTATATTTAGCACCGTGAATTTTTTAATTCGCATTAATGACGATCGCGTGTCTATACGCCCCTGCGGCTCGTTAGAGTTACCTTTTAAATCGCACACGGTGTACGACGTACCATCCGCTTCGATATGCCCGATACAGGACGTTCGTATTCACGAGAACGAAAGTTTCCCCGATCGTTCATTTTTCTGCGTTTAATTTCATTTTTAGAAAGTTCCTTTATCCGTCGACGCTCTCGAGCGTTTTGGTCCCGTTTTCTATTTAAAAATAAGTTTGCAGATCTATACAGCGCGGGGTGGTTAATGCGACTTAAAGCAATTGACCTCGATAAGAAAGTACCTCTGTATAATTTAACGACACCATCTTGAATCTCTTAAGAACGCGATCATAGCGTACTCGACCCTCTCGTAACACGGATATCCATACAGACTTAATAAACTTGTACAACTTTTGTATCGCGCGTACAAGCTCGTACGATCTTGATTCTTGTAAATTTCTGAATAACGTTACCGACGTTACGAACGCTACAAAAAAGCAAGCACTTCTTTTGTACGTTTTCAGCAGGGTTTCCCGTTGCTTGTAACTTTCAAATGCTTGGTATACCCGCGGAATGAGCATTAAGCGGTTAAGCGCGCAGCGGTTTACGACACTCGATGTTATAAACGTCGGATCCGTGTTTAGTACAAAGAACGATAGAAGCGTACGTTGAATTATTAAGCTCCTGTTGAAAGTACGTCCCAGAAAGTGCATGGGAAGCTCGTTTAAACTTGGATTTTACGTCGGTCGGGATCGCCCGTGAATGAAACATGCGCGGTCGACGAAAATTAATTGTTCCTAGCAAGCAGATATCGTGAAAGCCCGTAACGAGGTCCCGCGGACTCGCGACTCTTATATTTCCAGCTACAAAATACTGTTTTCAAGGCCAGTGGAGTGGCTCATGCTACTCTTTCGGTGGAGTGAAAGTGTCGATTCAGATTCGCCGTTTCAGCATCGATATAGTCGGCTACGTGTTCCCCAGTATTCGAACATTAGTCATGGAATGAATTCTCCCAGTAACAAATTTGTGTACGTCCAGAAATCATTAGAAAGCGAAACAAGGACGATTTTTTTTTGTATAATCTGTGAAAATTTTGGTGTATTTATTATTGACAGTAACTGTAATTATAAAAAATATTTTTTAGCATCGTGTGAATCGTGTATTTAGAATTTAGTACCGTTGGTTCCCAGGGACCGGCGCCACCTAAACGTAACAAATATGGCGTCGGTTCCTCGGAACCGGCATCGCGTTTTGACGTATTAATGCTCTGCTGTCGGTCAGTACCGTTGTCGATGAATCGTGGTTGGTGAAATCTGTGTCGGTCGTTTCAATGGGACCCGTCGTTAAAGGGTCAACACGTATACACGGTGTCTGGATAGTTTTTGCTCGCGACTGTACTTACGTATTCGATTCGCGGAGCGCGCTCGACTCGTGCACGCGCTATAAACGCACGTGTCGCGTGCCAACCGCAAACGTTCGAGCGTATATATTTTCCCCCCTCGTTCGTGGGAACGCCATTTCCCGGAAATTCTCTAATATTCTCAGAAGCAAAGCGTCATCGCGAAAGCAATCGAAATCTTCCGTCACCCCGGTTGTCGTCCCGGCGACGGTAATAAATTTCTAGCTGGCGAAAAGCTCGAGCTTTTCCACGAAATCTCTACGTTTCGTATTTCGTTCCCGTTCGATGGAAAACTATTTCAAATCGTTTCGCGGAATCGATAATGTTTCTCGCTATAATAATAATAGTACATTCTTATTACCACGCGCAGAGTTAATATTTTCTTTTAATTTTAATTAATTGCCAGTGTATGTTAACTTAAGTGGTACTCGTGTTTATTTACGATAAAAAATAAAACAAATGCAAAGCGTCGCAGACCAGCGCAAAGTCTATTTGCGTTACAAATATAAGCGCGCTTCAGGGTTAAATAGATCGATTGTTCTGGCCATCCTTGCGTATGAAAGTATCAGAAGTAGAAGTATTGTTCTCCGGGCTCGTACGCGGAAAAAAACAACGTGTCGTCGAACAATCCAACGATTAACCAACTGTTGCTCTTCAACACACCTAACCAGATGCCAATGCGTAGTTACAGGTACGTCAAGTTGGAAATTTATCGACACCTTTATGCCCTTGACTCCTTCGAAAATGATTGATCGTCTATGCGCCTGAATTTAGCCTTTCAATTTTCATTCTCGCTTCCGCCAAGAACCTTTTAAAATATGACGCGTCGCTTCAGAGCTGAACAAGTTCCGCCATTCTTTTCATTTTTGAAAGTTAAGTAAAAAGGTATCGCTTTGCTATTTTTAAATTAATATCAATATTTATCGATGTTTTATTGGAGGATCTTAACGCTTCGTAATCGTATGCAATCGATTGCATTCTGTCTTTCGCGGTCGATCGATATCCAGCAGCGATGTATCGCGAGGTGCACGAGTCGTCCGGTATTTGCATCGGGCTGCGTTACGTACGATATCGTGCTTCCTTCAACGAACAGAATATAACGTTCCCGCACGTGTGCGAGTTGCACGCGACATAAATTCCGACCGCGGATCGTAAACCATTTCGATCATGGCGCGTTCGACCGGACGTGTCTCGGTTAAAGGAGATAGCCTTTTACTTTTATTTATTCATTTTAGCGGGGCAACCCTGTAGAACAGTGTAGCACACTATACCGCAATCAATAATAGATGCGAACGGGTTCGTCGACCCGATAAAAGTGTCTCGAAAGTACGGAGTACAATTTGTTTCTTCGACGACATAATTAGATTCTAAATCGTACGTCGTAGGTATAGTCGCGACGACCATTTTGCATTTTAACGTTTCTTCTTGTTCGTGATTATTTGATATTTTTAATTGCACGGTGGAGCTCGGTTTCGAGTTTATCTGAAATCCTTTGGCACGGGATTAAATGGGCGCGGGACGTCCGTCCCGTGGGAAGAAGAAAATCAGCGAGGGAAATGAGTCACGTACGCGGTATATTGTTCTCTCGTAAAAGTGCTCGGACCATCTTCCCCGTCGTTTCCTTCGCCGTTGGTAAGGGAATACCCCGAAAGCTCTCTGGACCGTTGCCAAAGCGAACGGAGGTCCCCGATAGCCAGCGGGCTTCGTGATTTTATTATTTCGCGAAACTTCTCGATTTACACTACGATAAGTGATACGAGTACCGACGTCCCAACTGGGAGAATGCAAAATCAGAGACGTGCTTCTTCGCGAGAAATATCCGTCGTTGGGACAGAATTATATAACTACGAGGTGCGTCCAAAAAATTCCTACACACGCATTGTACGTCGTTCTTTTCACCGACTGTACGATAAAAATCGACCGTTAGTCCACTGTATTAGGTCAAATATTCGAATGGTAAAGTCGGCCCTACTTCCAATCGGAAGAACGCGTGGTGGTGTCGCTAGCGTCGCTCCGCCGATCGTAACCGTGCGTGCGCCGAGACCTCGCGACATCTTTTTTTGTTTCGCGTTGCAGGAGAGGACGGGTCGTCCCGGCGTTGCAGTAAAAACCTAATGTACACCGCAACTTTGATGAACGATAGATAGGAACGTGCGCGGGTGGAATCGTCCTGTTATCGAGCGTCTCGCGAACTACGCCCTTTATGTACAGCCGTCGACGAAACGAAAGCTTCCGCCCCTAGGCGCCTAATTACACTGGTCCGACCGCTAGCTTTTTCGACCGATAACTTTAATCACAAGCCTGCCAACCGGTCAACGCATAATTAGTTGCTTCCTGGTCGCTTGGTACACGCGTACGATATTCCTTTGCGTTCCTGTCGTCCAAATAAACGATTCTTATACCTTGACCCCTCGACGCACGGTAATAGATTTTTAGGTTAAGATTCGTCCACTCGAAAGAAATTATTTAAAGAACATACCAATGCTCTCTGTGATGTTTTAAGTATTTATTTTGGACGTAATATATTTCATATTGAAATTTAATTCGACCGACCACATTTTTGCAATAATTGCAAAGCGACTTTCATTAACGTTTCGCTCCTAACCTAGAATTCGTAACCTGATTTTTTAAAGAGACATCGCGAGCAAAAGTTTGCCCACGATTGAATTTGTGCTCGTTATTCGCGAGCAGAATTTGCCCAACTACGGCCATGGGAAGTTTCCACGAGAGTTTCCCGCGTCGACGAGGTACGACCTTCGAGGGAAGGACCTTCAATGGCGGGGCAACTGGGTTACAAGGAAACAAGGCCGGGATATTGGAGTTGCGAAGGGACAATCGGATCACGGTGATTGCTTCGTCGTATGAAAATGGAAAAAAACAAGGTAGATAGAAAAGAGAACGAGAGACTATGGGGTTATATTGCGTAATGTCTCTTTTCGCGAATCGAACGAGGCGAAACTCTTGTTTTCATTTATCCCGCCGTAATGGAATATTGTTTTGTAACCCGAGGCAGACGGCCCGTGTCCGAACGAACGATTATCGCCCCTTTTTACGCGTTTAATAATATAGAAAATAACATTATTATTATACAGGGTGTTTGGCCACAACTGGGAAAAATTTTAATGGAAGATTTCTGGCCATACACTAGGTTAGAAATTTTAGGTTAGAAATTTTTTTTCTCGAAACTGCGTAGGATTTCGGGGG